TACCCTATGACCCAGCAATTGCACTACTGGGTATTTACCCGAAAGATACAAATGTAGTAATCCAAAGGGGCACCTGCACCCCAATGTTCATAGCAGCAATGTCCACAATAGACAAACTATTGAAAGAGCCCAGATGTCCATCGACAGATGAATGGATAAAGAACATGTGTTATATATATACAATATATATACCATGGAATATTATGCAGCCATCAAAAAAGAAATCTTGCCATTTGCCACGATGTGGATGGAACTAGAGAGTATTATGCTAAGCAAAAGAAGTCAATCAGAGAATGACAATTATCATATGATCTCACTCCTGTGTGGAAGTTAAGAAACAAAACAGAGAATCATAGGGGAAGAGAGGAAAAAATAAAACAAGACAAAACCAGAGAGGAAGACAAACCATAAGAGACTCTTAATCATAGGAAACAAACTGAGGGTTGCTGGGGGGCTGGGGGGGAAATGGGGTAACTGGGTGATGTACATTAAGAAGGGCATGTGATATAATGAGCTCTGGGTATTATATAAGACTGATGAATCACTGATCTCTACCTCTGAAACCAGTAAAACATTATATGTTAATTAACTGAATTTAAATTAAAAAATAAAAACAAATAACCCAATTAAAAAATGAACAAAGGGGGCGCCTGGGTGGCTCAGTCGTTAAGCGTCTGCCTTCGGCTCAGGTCATGATCCCAGGGTCCTGGGATCGAGCCCCGCATCGGGCTCCCTGCTCCGTGGGAAGCCTGCTTCTCCCTCTCCCGCTCCCCCTGCTTGTGTTCCCTCTCTTGCTGTGTCTCTCTCTGTCAAATAAATAAAATCTTTAAAAAAAAAAAAAAAAATGAACAAAGGGCTTGAAAGAAATTTCTCCAAAAATGATATACAAACACTTCTGAAACCAATAATACATTATATTCTAATTAATTTAAATAAAAAGTGTGTAAGTGTGTGTGTGTATACACATATATTATCTCCTAATACTTTTTAATTCCAAATGGGGAGATAGAACTTTACAGTGGAGACACCTGGCAAACACCACCTTAACCAAGAGATCAGAGTTAATACAACGTTAACATGTGCCTCCTGCTAGGATGTGCTAAGAAGGGCTCAGCTTCCTTCTGCGGTATTCCTGTGCATTCATTCTAACAACCTGAATCTAACTGTGCAAAACACAGACCCAAACTGAAGAATATTCTACAACTGTGCCATCCAACAGAACTTTCTGCAATGCTGGAAGTGTTCTCTATATCTGCACTGCCCAATAGGGCAGCCACTGCCCCATGGAACCACCGAAAAATAGATGAAGCACATACTGTTAAATGTTAAGACTTCGAATCATGAGATGCCTGGGTGGCTCAGTCAGTTAAGCATCTGACGTCAGCTCAGGTCATGATCTCAGGGTCCTGGGATAGAGCCCAGTATCAGGCTCCCCGCTAAGCAGGAGTCTGCTTGTCCCTCTCCCTCTGCCCCCCCCATTCATGCTCTCTCTCTCAAATAAATCTTAAAAAAAAAAAAAAAAAGACTTAGACTCAAGATGAAAGGTATATGGAGGGGCGCCTGGGTGGCTCAGTCAGTTAAGCATCTGCCTTTGGCTCAGGTCATGATCCCAGGGCCCTGGGATTGAGCTCCACGTCGGACTCCCTGCTCAGAGGGTAGTGTGTTTTTCCCTCTCCCTCTCCTGCTCCCCCCAGCTTGTGCTCCATCTCTCTCTCACTCTGCTCTCTCATATAAATAAAATCGTAAAAACAAAAAAAAGAAAGGTATATGGAAAGCTTTTATACAATTTTTGCAACTATCTATAATTCTGGTATTATGTCAAAGTAAACATACAAGGAGCACCTGGGTGGCTAAGTAAGTTAAGCGTCTGACTTCTCAGGTCATGATCTCAGGGTCCTGGGATGGAGCCCTGTGTGGGACTCCTCGCTCAGCAGGGAGTCTGCTTAGTCCCTCTGCCCCTCACTCTGCTTGTACTCACTCTCTCTCAAATAAAATCTTAAAAAAAAAAAAAAAAGTAAAACATACAAAAAGTCTTAAAAGTCAGGATCTCATCATGTGTTCACACACAAAAATTATACTGTTAATATACATGAATAAGAACAGTAATAACCAAGATCTTGTGAAGTTCTAATCAAATATGACATACTGAACAGAGTATTTTTTTTTTAAAGATTTTATTTATTTATTAGAGAGAGAGAATGAGAGATAGAGAGCACAAGAGGGAAGAGGGTCAGAGGGAGAAGCAGACTCCCCGCCGAGCAGGGAGCCCGATGTGGGACTCGATCCCGGGACTCCAGGATCATGACCTGAGCCGAAGGCAGTCGCTTAACCAACTGAGCCACCCAGGCGCCCTGAACAGAGTATTTATATCCACTCTCTCCCAAAACTTTACTGACAGTAAGGAAATAAAAAAACATAGGGCTTGTTGATATGATGTGCTGAAAATGGTATTTTACCTCTGTGGTTTTCCTCCCAATATCCCATAACTACAGTCTAAGCATGAGAAAAACATCAGACAAATCCCAAGGACATCCAACAAAATCCCTGATTAGTCCTCCTCAAAACTGTCCAGGTCATCAAAACAAGGAAAGTCAGAAACTGTCATAGCCAAAAGGAGCCTAAGGAGACATGATACTTAAATGTAATACGGGATCCTGGAACAGAAAAAGAACATTAGGTAAAAACAAAGGAAATCTAAATAAGCTATGGAATTTACTTAATAGTTTACTTAATAATTATGTATCAATATTGGCTCATTAATTGTTACAAACATACCATACTAATATAAGACATTAACAACAGGTGAACCTGTACAGGGTATATGGGAACACTGCACTTCATTCTCAATTTTTCTATAAATCCAAAACTGCTCTAAAAATTAAAGTGCTTTTTTAAAAGCGTGACTGCAAACTATAAATGTTTTCAGATATAGAAGGCTTCAGAATTCATCTCCCATGTATTCTTTTTCATACATCCTCCCATGTATTCATCTCCCCTGTATTTCTAGAGATATACTCTAGCAAAACAGAATTAAACCAAGAAAGAAGACACAGGATGCACACAAGAGATCCATGGGGCGCCTGGGTGGCTCAGTCGGCTGAGCGTCCAACTCATGATTTCGACTCAGGTTCTGATCTCAGGGTCTTGGGATCAAGCCCCTCATCAGGCTCTGCACTCACAGCACAGTCTGCTTGTCTCTCTCCCTCTGCTCCTCCCCCCACTCTCTCCCTCTCTAAAATAAATAAAAATCATAAAAAAAAAAGAGATCTAATACAGGAAAACAAGCAAAGACCATCCCCAGAATGATGAAGTCAAGTCCTAGACATCTGTGTATCTGACCTCAAGAGAAAGCAGTTCACAATGAAGCAAAAGTATCTGGAGGTGGGTGTAAGTGCTAAACAGAGGATACTAAGCAGTTTTAAAAAAGGCAATTACCAATTCCAGGAAAAATATAAGTTGTTAGAGAAAGGAAACGTAATCACTGTACACTGCAGCTTAGCTCTGAACAATATTTACACAGACAATAAGAAATACTGAATACTGATTTAACTGGAAATGATAATCCATCTTGTTTTAAATCTAAGACATCACTGAACAGAAATCATACCATTACTTTATTTACTATTACTTACTACTAAAAGGGGAAAGAAATGCTGCCAATTAAGTAACACCATGGCATAAAGATGTATACCAACATCTCAGAGTTGTTAAAATGTAAAAGAATAGCTTCTCAAAATCAATTTAATATATTAATCACATTGAAAGGAGAAAGAAGTGTTTGCATTGGGAGCAGATGGTGTAAAAAAGCTAAACTGTGACCTTCCTTATACAGAAGGAAGTCAATATATAATGTCTGAAATTGATGGGGGAGAAAAGAAAGAACAATATAAGTTTGTTACATAGAAACATGGAGAAAAATGCTAGAAGAAACCTCTAAAAGAGCTGATAGTAAGGGCTTCTAAGGTAGGGGACACCAAGGTAGCGGGGAGGTTTTTCATTTGAGATTTGCCTATTTAAACCATTTGCATGTATTACCTTCATAAAAATAAATGTAAAAAATCAAAGCAACAACAGCAATAACAAAAATCAAAGCAACAATAATCTAAAGCTATCAGGAAGAAAATTCAACAGCTGAAATACTTGCAGATTTTTTTTATGTACCATGACAAAGGATATCAAGAAAAACCTGAGAAAAAAGATATACAACCCCAAACCCAAAGCAGTCTCAATGTTATACAAATCCAAATTTTTTTTTTTTTAAGATTTTATTTATTTGGCAGTGAGAGACACAGCGAGAGAGGGAACACAAGCAGGGGGAGTGGGAGAGGGAGAACCAGGTTTCCCGCGGAGCAGGGAGCACAAAGCTGGGCTCGATCCCAGGACCCTGGGATCATGACCTGAGCCGAAGGCAGACGCTTAACGACTGAGCCACCCAGGCGCCCCTACAAACCCAAATTTTAAGTGACATTATAGCAAAGTGAAAATATTCAATCAAACCTATTCTAAATGGGGTTCATTTTACCCATCCAGCCACACAGATGTTGATTTAAGATAGCTCAAAAGTTGACCTGCTAGAGGCAAAAAGGCGTGGGAGTGACACCACAGCTCTGAAAGCTGACTTCCTGCTTCAAGATAAGACCCAACTGACTCAATTAGGAGGGTGTATTATTTCCAGCTACAGCAAAGTTACATTACACAAAAATAAACTTGGAAAAAGTCATAATTGCCTGTAAGAGTATAACATCTAAAATTACTGGGCGCCTGGGTGGCTCAGTTGGTTAAGCGGCTGCCTTCAGCTCAGGTCATGATCCTGGAGTCCCGGGATCGAGTCCTGAATCGGGCTCCCTGCTGCTTCTCCCTCTGACTCTCTGACCCTCTTCCCTCTCATGCTCTCTATCTCTCATTCTCTGTCAAATAAATAAACAAAATCTTTAAAAAAAAAAAATCTAAAATTACTTTTAGCCTACCCTGCCATTAAGTTTCCATTATGTGTCACTTACATCTTGAAACATTTTGTTTTCTTGTTTCAGTCTCGCTTCTTTATCATCTGAGAGTTTGTAAGCATTCTCAAATGCTTCTTCTAAATCCTGCAGTCGAGATTTTAGTCGAATGATGGTATTGTCTTTTTCTTTATTACTTATTCTCATTTCCTCAATCCGTTCCTGCAAAATTTTGGAAGCATTGCTGGCTGCATTGAAGCGTTCTCTGAAATCACTCTACAAAATAAAAACAAAGATAATAAATTGTTTTTAATTAAAAAATACAGATGTTTCAAAAGCACTTAACAAATTGTGGACATTAAACTATAAAAGAAAAGTAATAAAATAAAACCTAAAATGGGAATCACAAATTTAATATTTTGTTATGCCTTGGGATGGAGACTAAAAAGGATTACTCTACTAAAATAACAACTTCAGGGGCTCCTGGCTGGCTTAGGCAGTAGGCATACAACTCTTGATCCTGGGGTTGTAAGTTCGAGCCCCACACTGGGTAGAGAGTTTACTTAAAAACAAAATCTTTAAAATAAATAAATTTTTTTAAAAACCAGCTTCATGAGATTATCATGAAGTATAGACAAAAAAACCAGTGTTTGAGGCATTATAATGCTGGACTCACTTGTAGGCCACTTTAATGAAAAAAATAACCATGGCTATCAGGAAAATTATTTTGAAAGCACAGCTGGAATCTGTTGCCCCATGTTAATATTTAGAGAATAATAAAGCATTTCTTATCCTATTCTCTCACTTACTAGGAAAATAAAAGAGAAAATTCAAAACACATCTGATATGTTAGTATTCATTCAATAATCATTTCTTAAATATCCACTAGGTGCCAGGCAATAGAGTGCCAGAAATACAAGATTAGCAAGAAAGACAAGTCCCTGACCTCAAGAAGCTTCCAGTTTAGGAGACAAAGACAACTAAAAACACATCAAAGAAAGACAAAGAAACAGTGCACAGAACATAACTGCATCTTCCATTGAAACATTACTTATAAAGTTACATATAGAAGAATAAAACTTCATAATGAATGAAAAAAAATTTAAGTTTATGCATTCCAGTTATACATTCAAAAAAATAAAAACACAAGTCCACATAAAATCTTGTATACAAATATTCATAGCACTGTCATTCATAACATCCAAAAAATGAAAACCAAAACATCCATCACCTGATGAATGGATAAAAATGGTCTATCCCTAGAAGGAATGTTACTTAGCCATAAAAAAATAATGAAATACCGATTCATGCTACAACATGGATAAAACTTGAAAACATGCTAAGTGAAGGAAGCCAGACACAAAAGGTCATATATATGATTCCATTTACACCAGTGTCCAGAATAGGCAAATCCAAAGAAGAGAAAGAAGAGTAGTGGTTACTAGGGACTGGGGAGAAGGAGTTTTGGAGTTAGGAGGGAAAGACTGACAGTTAAAGGATTCAGCGTTTCTCTGAGTGAGAAAATATTCTAAAACTAACTGTGGTGACGGCTGCACAAGTTTGCAAATATACTAAAAACCACAGGATTATACACTTCCAAAGAGTGAGTTTTATGATATGTAAATTATATCCCAATAAAAAAATAAATATTTTAAAGTGTAAAAGTTTATCCTAGCATATGAAGCCAGCAGCATTCAAAATATAAATAAGACATCCTAACAACAACAAAAAAACACATAGCCAATATTTTTATAAAACTATTAATTTGTCTCTAAAATTCGGTTAACAAAAAGGTTTCAGTTTTTAACATTAAGCCACTAAACAACAAAAGAGTACTTACGACTTCTATTTCCAGTAAGTTATTCTTATTTTCAAGTGTTCTCACATGACTGGTAGCTTCATTCAGAGCACTATCTAAGTGGCCACATCTAAAAACCATAAATTCAAACAAAAAAATTAGAAGATAAAATCCTTTCCCTTAAAAACATGCTATAAATCTCATTCTCTAATATGTAAACAAATTCTCCAATGTTAGTGAACACTAAGGATGTCATTTTAATATATCCCAATAAAATTGATGATACTGTTTTCCAGAGAAAATAACAATATGAAAATATCCCTAATAGTTAAGTGAAAAAAGCTAAAATATGAACAGACATTTGTACACCCATGTTCACAATAGCAAAGTGCACACAAGCCAAGATGGAAGCAACCCAAATGTCCAGAAGGATGAATGGATAAACAAAGTGTGGTTTATCCATCCAATGGAGTAGTATTCAGCCCTTTAAAAAGGATGAAATTCTAGGGGTGCTTGGGTGGCTCAGTTGGCTAAGCATCAGACTTTTGATTTCAGCTCAGGTCCTGATTCAGGTTGGTGAGATCAAGCCCCTCATCGGGCTCTGTGCTGGGCACAGAGCCTGCTTGAGATTCTCTCTCTCTCCTTCTTTAAAAAAAAAAAAAAGGATGAAATTCTAACACCTGCTATAACATGGATGAACCTTGAGGGCACTATGCTAAGTGAAATAGGCCAGACACAAAAGGACAAGTATACGTCCACCTATACAAGGTTCCCAAGTTCATATGAGGTGTCAAATTCATAGAAAGTAGGATGCTGGGTGCCAAAGGCTGGAGAGTTGTTGCTTAATGGGGGCAGGGGTCAGGTTTGCAAAATGAAAAGGTTCTTGGGTGTCTGCATGGCTCAGTCAGTTAGGCATCTGCCTTTGGCTCAGGTCATTATCCCAGGGTCATGTAATCGAGCCCCGCATCAGGCTCCCTGCTCAGCGGGGAGCCTGCTTCTCCCTCTCCCTCTGCCTGCTGCTCCCCCTGCTTGTGCTCGTTCTCTCTCTCTGTCCAATAAATAAAATCTTTAAAAAAATTATATTTAAAAATACAGGATACAGAAGACTGCAAAGACTGCATAAAATAGCTTGATCTCTGTTATAGAAAAAAACATATATACATCTGTGCATTATGATTTCTAAGATATAAAACTTAAGTTTGGAATGTAAGCATGGAGGTTGGGTAGGGAGACCTTTCATATTACATCCCTCTGTACTTTACCAAATTAGCATGAATGTATTATTCTTATAATTAAAGACCTTCGTAAAGTCATTCATCACAGAACCTCAAAATCACAAAATACACATTAGGATTCTGTTGCCATTCTGACTTGGTGTTAATGAATTCTGAATAAAAGCTAATATCTATTTGGCACTGATTATATGCCAAGTCTATGTTAAGCACTTTACATTCATCCTCACAATCCTATGAGTTAGGACTGCTATCATTATCATTTTACAGATGAGAAAACAGAGAAGCTGAATTCCTCCTGGGTTGTGAGCAATCACTGGAATTTGAAACCTGTCAGTGTGACTCCAGAGTTCACGCTCCTAACCACTGTGCATTAATGCCCTGCAGAAATCAAATACTGATGAAACTGCTCTTGAAAGAGGGCGCCTGGGTAGCTCAGTCGTTAAGCGTCTGCCTTCGGCTCAGGTCATGATCCCAGGGTCCTGGGATCGAGCCCCTCATCGGGCTCCCTGCTCAGCAGGAAGCCTGCTTCTCCCTCTCCCGCTCCCCTTGCTTGTGTTCCCTCTCTCGCTGTGTCTCTCTCTCTGTCAAATAAATAAAATCTTAAAAAAAAAAAAAAACTGTTCTTGAAAGAAAGAGCACTAAAGAGTCAAGTGTAGGTGTGTTAACTATAATTTCCTATTTTTACCACCACACCGATTGTGGTAGGAGACCGTGTGACAGAACAATCTGAGAGCACAGCTGGCCCACAATGAGTCAGTGGCCCTATCTGCAGTACCAGGGGGATGCTCCCACTTGCAATTTTAAGTTTGAAAAAAACCCGATGTGTATGCTGACAACTTTAAATTGGCTTTGTCTTAGGTGAATCATTTCTCCAGTCCCGGGTGACGGCTCTCCGTACCCCACCTTCCACGCCCCTCCTGCTGCTGTCGCCTTCGATCCTGCCTTCCAATCCGTCCCACCTACACGGCCTCACCGCTCTAGCAGCCTCCGGACAGAAAAAGGGCTTTCCTCAGCTATCCTGTCGCAGGCGCCTTCTCCGGCAGCCTGTTGTTAACCTAAGGAGGCCTACTGGGGGGCTGCTTTCACACTTCCGTTTTCCACAGGAAGTACCTGTAGTCCTCTTTGCCGTCTTAAAAACAACAACAAAAAAAACAAGAACCGACTTCCCCTAACCTGCCAGCTACTCTTTTCCTTTTATCCTAGAAAACCTAAACCTGGCTTCTTTCTGGCTTTTTTCAAACTACTGCTCTTTACCACTACCACCCAGGCCTACCCCAGCAGCAAAAGCTGCGGTAACTCCCAGGAATAAGACAGCCTGTTAACTACCAAAGAAACAGCAAGCTAGTATAAAGGCTAGTTTACCTAGAATTCTGCAAGTTAAACTATTAACTGGACCAGATGACTTCAGTTCCCTCCTAATCTTTTCTCAAGGGGCTTTGTCTTTGTCTGCCTTAGAGAACAATTCTTTGCTGCTATATCAACCTCAGCAGTTTTCAATCTGTTTAAGTCCCATTTAAATGTAAAATATGAAGCAAATATGCTGTTATTACAGTTAGAGCATCGAATTTTGTTAATGATTCTCTCTCTCAAACAGGTATTCGGCTATCCTTAACGTAATTGTCCCCTGTGTTTCCATGTTGGTTTCTTTTTTCAGCAGGATAATTGCTTCCACAGGTTCATGAGTGTCTGGATTAAATTATGTGAAATCTGGGTTTAAGAAAAGATTGAGGACTGCTCAAGGACGTTAGTCAGAGATTTCTTAGGAAATCTGTCCATAGTTCTAATCCACCCATAAATGACATTCCTTTAAATATACAAAATCTGCTCAACTATTTTAGTATTTTATCTGTATGAAACAAATGCCCTCATGTCAGCTACCAGTGTGCTATATAAGGTTGGTTCAAACCTATAAAAATAATTACTTAGGCAAATATATCTGTTAAGATTTTCAAATCTAAAACATGTTTTCAAACTCTTTTATCACAATATAGTATACTTGGAAAAAATAACATATCCAAGTTCGAGAAACACTAACTTCATAGTTGAATTATAAATTTTACCTGTCTACAAGAATTTGGTTGGTTTTCTTCCAATCTTCAACTGCAGAAATTTCCTTTGCCTCCAGTTTCTGTTTCAAACTATTTATTTCTGATTCATAATAAGCTCGAAGATCCGCTATGTGTCGAGCATGCTTTTCCTTCAGGTTCTGCCTAATTCTGTTGTTGAGGGCAAAAAAATGTTTTAGGAGAGCATTTACTCACTCTCTATCCCACAAGAGAAACCAAGAACACAATCTCTCATAAGCAAAAGTACAGCCTTTTTCCTCTGTGCACCCACATAAAACATAATAGATTAATACACACGTTGACAACTAATTAAGCAAAAAAAGAAAGACGTACATTAATTTTTAGATGTCCTACCTTAAAAATGCTGTATCTCTAAGATTTTATACATTAGGGAAGGTCAATAAAAATCATTTTCATCATTCAAGCAGACGTCACACAAAATCGATTAACATTACAAGCCATGCACTGAATACATACTTGGACAACATCACAGGATCTTCCAGGGAAGCCAAGGAAATGCATTCTGGGACACTGTTGACTGTCCCTGGAAGCTGGGACTGACTGACTGAGGCTGAGGTTACTATGGCAGTGTTTTCTTCATCTATAGTGTTCACTGAGATGTCATTACTAGTAATAGTATAAACTGAAGGAAATGTGGAACTGGTCCTACTTTCATTTTGGAATCCATGATTTTTCCAAGAGTCCACTGGTGAAGCTTTTGTATTTGAAGGATATTTTGGGAATCCAGGTAACTGAGAAGCGATATTACTTGCTTGTGAAAATGAGTCTATGTCAGAGTGACTACACATACTAGGTTCTAGAACAGAGTCTGGTGAAAAGGATATTCTGTCATCAAGGGCATTCAAAAAGCCTTGTGGTTGAATCCCTGAAATCTGCTGATTTGGCTTCATGTGTAACGTTGGATCTAGAGTTAGTACCTAGAAATAAGACAGAAAACAGTAAGGTTTTGCCCTCAGTTTTGCCCTTTGTTTTTGAGTAGGCTTTAGATCTCCTAGGGAAAATTGTTTTTAAGTGAGTAGGCTTTAGGTCTCCTGGGAAAATAAAGCTTAAGATGAAAGTTAAGAGCCATAAAGCATCTTTCATTTTCACTCAGCAGAGTGTTGACAATTTACCTCTGGTGGATGATTTGGGTTGGAAGCAGAAGTGAGATTCCTCTCAGGTAACTGCTTGTTTTCCCTTTGTTTTTTATGATAAATATCCTTCAGTGATGGTAGCTTCATCTCATTACTAGTATTAGACTTAAAGATATGAAAAAAAATTTAAATGGTATTATCAACGATGAAAAAAGTTTACTGATATCAAGATCAGCACCACAAAAAGATTTTTGAAAGATTTTAAATGAATTGAGACTCTAGACTTTCGGACTTATAAAACAAATTTAGAAGTCATTACCTGTTAATTATGAGTCTTCCTCAGAATGAAAAAAATTAATATCCCCTAACAATAAATATTAAGGTGATAATCTGAACCTAAGTTATTTAGTAGCCTAAGAATATGTCTAAAGAACAAAAAACTTTGGTAGTGCCCCCTACTCAAGATAAAAATCAAGTTTTGAGGTAAGAAAAGACTTCATCATGAATGACCAAAGCAGGATGAGAAGACTTCTGGCTAAATTAGTATCATATGACTCAAGAGGACAGGTATAGGGGTATCTATATAGTTATTTTCCTTTTTTTTTTTTTTAAGATTTTTTATTTATTTGAGAGAGAGTTTATTTGAGAGAGAGAAAGAGCATGAGAGGGAAGAGGGTCAGAGGGAGAAGCAGACTCCCTGCTGAGCAGGAAGCCCGATGTGGGACTTGATCCCGGGACTCCAGGATCGTGACCTGAGCTGAAGGCAGTCGCTTAACCAAGTGAGCCACCCAGGCGCCCTCCTATTTTTTTTTAAAGGTTTATTTATTTTAGAGGGAGGAGTGAGCACACGCACACAAGCAGGGGAGGGGCAGAGGGGGAGAGAGAGAATCCTCAAACAGACTCCCCACTGAGCGAAGGACCCCCCCGCCCCACCCCCCACATGGGGCTCAATCCCAGGACCCTGAGGTCATGACCGGAGCCGAAATCAAGAGTTGGACGCTCAACCAACTGAGCCACCCAGGCGCCCCCCCTTCCTATTTTTTTAAGAGTTGGCAGGCAAAAAAAAAAAAGGGTTAAGAAACAAGTTACCCTATGGAAATAAGCCCCTTTTAAAAACTCATAAGAAGATATGACCCTAATTTCTACAGCTTGAAATCAGTGCTCTGCCACACTGGGAATGTTACGAAGAGGTCTAAGCTCCAAACATTAAAACCTCAGCCTTAAATTATTTCAAGGTGGGATGTATTGTAGGGCAAGACAGTGGACCATTTAACCCTGGACCTCAAATTTAAACTGTGGACATTCTCTTAAATGAGATTATAGATTCAGCAAGAGATACACTGAAAGCATTGAAAGAATACATTTACATGTAGCTTTAAATTGGTGTCCAATTTCCAGACCCTACACAGACTGCAGAATACCCACGAATATTTTTTAAATAAACCCTATAACTAGCTTGTGAATAAGATGATCAAACTTTTTGTGTGCGCATGGGGGCACCAGGGTGGCTCAGTCCATTAAGCGTCTGACTTCAGCTCTGGTCATGATCTCAGGGTCCTGGAATGGAGCCCCACGTGGGGGGGCTGGGGGGAGGTCCCCAGGCTCAGTGGGGAGTCTGCCTGTCCCTCTGCCTCTGCCCCTCCCCCTGCTCATGACTCTCAGACTCCCTCTCTCTCAAATAAAATCTTAAAAAAAAAAAAACTTTTTGCGTGTGCATTAAAGGCATTAATTTGTTGAATGTACACCCTTAAAATTCATAATTTTTGTAATTCTACTGTGGAATTTTACTTTTTATATACCAACAACCTAAAGGCTCTTTCAAGACTTCCAGCCTGTAACGAGCAGAGCACTCCGGATGTGGCCTTGAGCCTGAGGAATACCTGCCTGGTGGTTTGGGTGAGCAGTTGCAATTCCTCTATTTAGAGCTCACCGTAGTACAAGGAACCATTTTTCACATTTTCCACTTCTACGATTTCTTTTCATATTTTAACATCTCTGAAGTGAGGATGCCTCTTATAATTAACGGCATCTTACGCTGCTACCAGTCAAGTAGCAATTGTGACATAATTGTCATTACCTGCTCATGAGCAAATTGTCGAAGACATAAAAATTGGCCAAACAGGTGTCAACAGTCTGGAAGAAAATCCTAGAGACTACACCTGAACCCCTGAGAACCAATATTTAAGGGACGGTGAATCCTATATGTTTAAGCAATGTTCCCCCATCTGGGAGCCAAACACAGGCCAGTTCTACATAACCACTAAGCCAGGTAAAAACTCAACACCAAGGCCTTTCCGCCTTTTTTAAAGAATGTCAAATCCTCAAAGCTCTTGATGGCTCAAGGAAAACAGTATGTGGAAAAACACAGAAACTAACACTGAGTTGAAAAGAGTGTAAGCCTCTGTAGGTGAAGAAGTTTTAACAGACTTATTTCACTTATAACGTCCTTCTTAAGTGTGTATAAGAGTTCTTTGATAAAAATCAATGTTTAATTAGTCTACAAGCTCTTTCAATAAGAGTAAAATATAAATTCTACTGTATCAGTGCTCTCTTGGTCCTTTTTGGTGGGTTCGAATATGAAACAGGAAGTCTTAAAGGTGACAGTATCTTAGAATCACCAAATACAGTATTCATTTACTGATGGTGCAGATAATGTCATACACACAGTGAGCCCTGTCATCACGAAGCCCACCAAGCCTTCCGGCGGCTCAGAGTGTCATTCCTCAGTCTTCCTCTGTGTTTCTCTCTCTTTTTCACTCCTTTCCTGAAGGATGGGATGCTGGTTTCTGCCCCACTGTGGGAATCTGATGTGTATGCTGATATGCATGCCCTCTGCCCTGCTGATGCCGGTCACTCAGGCTTACAGCTCTCCTGGTTACTTTCATTGTAGTCTCTCCTTTTCCCCAAAGTACTTTCTCACCACCTGACCAAAAGACTGAAGTGAGATATGTACATGGATGTACACAAGCTCGGTAGTTTTATTTCGTTGTTCTGAAGCAAAGAAAATATTTACATTTCTTGCTCAAAGAAAATTACTACAAAATTAAAATACTCAAAATTATGGTACAAATGGATTAGCAGGAAGGCATAATAGGATGGAGAATCAAAACCAGGTGTAGGAACAGCAGAAGTGGTTGTCTGCAGACCTACTATATTTAGAACAGTAGGCACAAAATCATCTCATTTAAATTTGCAACACATTAACTGGACATTTTTAATTCTACTCTTAAGTAACTTTCCTATGATCATATAAGGCAATGAATGAGAGACCCAATTTGAAAGCAGGTATAATTTAAAGCCCAGGCTTTCTTTAGTATATCAGAAATTGGAAAACACAAAATTCATAATGAAATGGCATACTTAACTACAATTGTATAATGTAAACACCCACACACAATGTGTTTTTAAATTACCTGGCTTGGGGACCTATCTGTGGAGGAGGCCGGTGCAAACGTCTTCTCTAGAGTCTCAGGCAAAGAGTGATACATGTCCTTCTCTTCCAGCTTCCAATAAGTCAGTCCTATCGCACACAAATATACAGAATAGAAGACTGAGGACAGAGAACAAAAATGCTTTCTAGGAAAACTTATTTCTACTTAAAGAAAATTAAATATGGGAAGTAACTAGTTTTAGGTCTATATGGGAAGTTGAATTTTGATGGCATAGACTCTTAATTGCCTTACCATGTAAGAGTTCTAATTTAATGATCCAAATATTTAAAACTGAAATATATTATTAAAAGGCAAGATATGGGGCGCCTGGCCGGCTCAGGTGATAGAGTATGTGACTTCTGATCTCAGGGTTGTGAGTTCAACCCCATGTTGGGCGTAGACTTTATTAAAAAAAAAAATAAACTTAAGAAAAGTCAAGATAAACTAGTGCAATCTAAAATATATCTCTTAAAAGACAACAATTTATGAGCAGTACAGAAAAAGCAATATAAAGAATTCAATGGTTCAAATATATATTGTTTTCTGTGCCAGGCTGGGGAGCAGGAAATGTGAGACGTGAACAGTAAACAAATCACAAGGTATACCCAGTAGGTTAGAAGGTGGTAAGCACACTAATGGTTAAGATTTAAAAATCAGGTAAAACGGAATATGTAGTGTGTGTGGAGGGGTGCTCAAGGTTGGCTCACTGCAAGGTAACAAGATAGAGTAAAAGCATTTTAGCCATGTGTGAGGGAGGTCCCCTATGTAAGAGGTGGGGAGAACATCTCAAATATAGGAAGCAGCAAAGCAGAAGCTCTAAAAGGAGAACGTATCGGGGCACCTGGGTGGCTCAGTCGTTAAGCGTCTGCCTTCGGCTCAGGTCATGACACCAGGGTCCTGGGATCGAGGCCGGCGTCGGGCTCCCCGCGGAGCAGGGAGCTTCTCCCTCTCCCACTCCCCCTGCTTGTGTTCCCTCTCTGCCTGTCTCTCTCTCTGTCAAATAAATAAAATCTTTAAAAAAAAAAGATTTTATTTACTTATTTGACAGAGAGAGACACAGTGAGAGAGGGAACACAAGCAGGCTCCCCGCGGAGCAGGGAGCACGACGCCGGGCTCGATCCCAGGACCCCGGGATCATGACCTGAGCCGAAGGCAGACGCTTAACGACTGAGCCACCCAGGTGCCCCATAAATAAAATCTTAAAAAAAAAAATATCTGGCACATTTAAGCGAACAGCCTCTCTGCTGAAGCAGAGAAAGGGAATAGCAGAAAATGAGGTCAAACAGAGCAAGACTAGATCTTGCTGGGCCTGTGGGTGCCTATAAAGACTCTGGCTGCTCTTCTGAGGGAAAGAGCACAGCAGGGTTTTGAGCAGAGGACTCACATGATCTGACCTAGCTTTAACAAGGATCCTAGAGGCTCCTGTGTTAGGAACAGATGGAAAGGTGCCAGGGTGAGGGCAGAGAGGCTGGGCAGGAAGCTGCAGAACCCCAGGTGACAGGTGATGGGAGCTGTCTGAGGGTGAGAGCATGACGGTGGTTCAGTTCTGGCAATTTTCAGCCTGCAGTGCTAATTCATCCTGACAAACTGGATGTGGGATTGTACAGGCGGGGGGGGGGGGGTAGAATCAGTATGTTACATCATTGAAACTAAAATAAGCTTACCATGGAGAGTAAAGAATGGTTCACAAAGGGTTTGAATTTCTTAATTCATTCTGGAGCACCTGGAAAATGCTGAGATGACTTCTGCAACTGTTTGAAATAACTGTAAAAGTATTTTTCCATCTATCTTTACAGAATGTGTAACACAAATTAATGCAAGTAAGGAAATCAGACTTAGCAGAGGCACAACACAACACACAACAGATTTACAGAAACCCCTCTACTACACTGTATAGAATTATCTTCCTATTAGAAATGCAGATAAGTTGTTATAAAAAAATAAGTATCATACCTGTTCCTGAATCAGGCATCCAAGAATTTGGACTCTCATCTGGTTTATTGAGGTAAAAAGCATGAGGATGCTTAGCAGCAGTGAAATTAGACTACAAGGCAAGAGAGAAAACTATTAGTTGACAGCTGAAAATCATTAGGCACAAACTGCTGACCCAAGGAATGAGAGCCAGGTGTCAAACCCCGGTATAGAGAAAGTCTCAGAGGGTTCATGAAGAAGTAAGAAAGCCTGGTTTTCCCCGTGATTACAAGAATGCAAAATGATAGGAATCAACCGTGGAGGATTTTCTTTTCCTGTGTGTTTACAAAAGTTTATTTTGGTTCTGCAGAACCAGAAGAACACTGGCACCTGGAGCTACTTAATGAGTTCAAAATGAAATGTATTTATAATTTGCCAGCTACAGCCAAAAGAAATTCAAAGTGCCTGGAATTAAAGTCATTTAGCGTAAAAATTAATGTGAAAGCCCTAACAATTCATTTTTATTATTAAAAGTACAATAATTTGGGGGCGCCTAGATGGCTCAGTCGTTAAACATCCGCCTTCGGCTCAGGTCATGATCCCAGGGTCCTGGGATCGAGCCCCGCATCAGGCTCCCTGCTCGGCAGGAAGCCTGCTTCTCCCTCTCCCACTCCCCCTGCTTATGTTCCCTCTCTCACTGTCTCTCTCTGTCAAATAAATAAAATTTTTAAGAAAAAAAAAGTATAATAATTCAAACTCTGAAAATGGCATTCAGTAATCTATATGAACTTCAAGTAGTAAACTGTGTCTTACAGACAGGCAACTGGTTACTAATCCCAGAAAAGGCTCAAAATGCTTGCTTATCATCAATTCTAATAAAAATTCTGAGCTAACTACTCCTCACAGTATCTCTGGCATTGTCACAAGAAATCTCTGTTTGCGAACAAAAATATTTTTATCAGAATTTTTCTTATCAGTTCCACCACCATCAAACTTTTAATTCCTGTTAAAAGGTATTTAAGTTGCATTTGCTTACAATCATCTGGGGACCCACAGCAAAAGTAAAAGGATACTGAGGTGACAGCACTCCACCTACCATGGAGGAGTTTTCATCTCAGCCTCCTAAGGTACCACTCAGTCCCTCGTTCATCAAATGAGAAATTCCTAGGTCATCTTTTGTCTCTTCTAAAATTCCTACCTTGACAGAAATTCAAATTTCTGTCAAGTCTCAGTACTGAACAGGCCAGAAAAAGCTGACAGCAGAAAGCTAAGTGAAAAATACCGAGTAACATATTTTGTCCGCTTCCCAGTCCGGCGGTGCCAACCTGAACGCACTCAGCTGACCCAGCGGTGGGCGGGGGCCTCCCCTTGCCCGGCTGCTGCCACATTACTGAGCACACCAGGCCTCGCGTTTAATGAGAAAGAAAAGTATGGAGCAATGAGAAGTCCTTCCCAAGAAGTTGTCCCACACCTGGCACAGGGACCTTCACCGATGTCAGGAAGAGTCTCGTCACCCATCCAAGAAACCACTCCCGTGTCCTGCTTCCCCGGGAAATGGTAACGTCAAGTCTGTCCCCAACAAAGGACCAAGGAAAATCCTTATGCTAAACAAGAGCCATTTCAAGATGTGCTTCAAAATAGCCAACACCCCAAAGAAACTACCATTGTAGAAAGAGAAAATTGGATCCCAAGAGAATTCTGACCATAAGGATTCCCTGATTTAGACTGAAACTAGAAAAAACAGGAGAAGAGGAAGGATGAAATAGAGCCCCAACTTGGTGAATCCACAGAATTTGATTCAGGATTACACAGGTAAGAAATGTGTTTCAGGTGTGGGGCCTTGGGTTCATCAACTACCATTATCCGAAAATCATTTAAAACTCAAATATCAAAGAAACTTTATTTCCCATAACGATTTACTACCAAAAATACCACTCACCTTTAAAGAAAAAAAAAAGGGAAAGAGGCACCTGGGTGGCACAGTCGGTTGAGCATCCTACTCTTGGTTTTGACTGAGGTCATGATCTCAGAGTCCTGGGATCAAGTCCCACATCAGGCTCCAAGCTCAGAGCAGATTCTGCTTGAGATTCTCTCCCTCTCCCTCTGCCCCTCCCCCAGCGCTCTAGCGCCTGTGCATGCACTTGCTCTTTCTGGCTCTCTAAAATAATAAATGGAGGGGCGCCTGGGTGGCTCAGTCGTTAAGTGTCTACCTTCGGCTCAGGTCATGATCCCAGGGTCCTGGGATCCAGCCCCGCATCCGGCTCCCTGCTCCGCAGGAAGCCTGCTTCTCCCTCTCCCACTCCCCCTGCTTGTGTTCCCTCTCTCGCTGTGTCTCTGTCAAATAAAGAAAATCTTTAAAAAATAATAATAATAATAAATGGAGGGGTGCCTGGGTGACTCAGCAGGGAGTTTGCTTCTTCTCCTCCCCCTGCTGTCTCTCTCTCTCTCAAATAAAATCTTTAAAAAGAAAGAAAGAAAGACATTTTCTTTTTCTGCCAACCTAATCCAAAGAAAAAAGCAACTTTCACCCCCATCTCCAAATCAAGGATATAGCATCCTGATGGCACATGGGTTCAAAAGAACAGTACTGGGCGCCTGGGTGGCTCAGATGGTTGGGCGACTGCCTTCAGCTCAGGTCATGACCCTGGAGTCCCGGGATTGAGTCCCTCATCGGACACCCTGCTCAGTGGGGAGTTTGCTTCTCCCTCTGACCCTACCCCCTCTCCTGCACTCTCTCTCAAATAAAAAAAATTAAAAAAAAAACTTAAAAAAAAAAACACAAAAGAACAGTACTATGAATGCAATACTACAGGGCGCTTGCAGATCTTGGAGGCTTGACAGCCCCCCCCAGCTTTCTGCACCCTCACTTCCCTTCTGAACACAAATTGGAATATGTTCAAGAACAGTAATATGAAGAAGGCTAAGTATCACAGGCTGAAAAATGAAAACTTACTGGAAGAAAAAAGAACAGTGCCTTAGGAAGGCTGAGGGATTGTGTTCTTATGACTTCTATTTAATTTTTTTCATAGGATGATGGAAAGACCATGTTTACGATGATCAAGAAGTGGCCAATTTCTAAAGGTATCAAGTTTGCAGAGACCGGATTTTGCAATTTCAATGAATTATACTAAACAATGTTACTCTACAAAAATTTAAGCCAAAAGGGCTTCAAAGATGTTTAAAATTTACTGAATATCTGTAACTCTAACAAAAACAGCTGCTAGATTAACAAAAGGGCCACAGAGAATTTAAACACATAATCTCTCACAATTTGGATTATAAATTCAGAGTTCAGATTATTCAGCGCCCAGTACTGTTCTTTTGTCCCTTCTTGCATTCACACATATAATACTACTTCTTACAACTTAACAGTAATACAAATTATTTGAGGGCTTAAAAAAAGTTAAATGGATTACTCTCTGGCTAAATGTAAACAGTTGCAGTACAAAGACAATTAGGACCTTTACAACATGGTTTTCACTTTTTATAGTACTTTATCCCTCATTAGTTTTGATTTGCAGACTACTAAAGAACCAATACTTAGAGCAAATCATTGTTTCCAATCCTCTGAGACTCCTAAAGGCTGATAGGTCAATGGAACAAATTAATACCACAAAAGAAAGGGCAAAAAACTTATGTTGATGAGCATGTAGTATAAACTCCACATAATTATCAGTAGCTGGGGCGCCTGGGTGGCTCAGTCGTTAAGCGTCTGCCTTCGGCCCAGGTCATGATCCCAGGGTCCTGGGATCGAGCCCCACGTCAGGCTTTCTGCTCAGCGGGAAGCCTGCTTCTCCCTCCCCCACTCCCCCTGCTTGTGTTCCCTCTCTTGCTGTCTGTCTCGATGTCAAAATAAATAAATAAATAAATAAAATCTTAAAAAAAAAATTATCAGTAGCTGAGGCATGCCAGAGTAAAGTGACTTATCACCTACTTTCTCAACTGGTGACTTCTTGGCTTGCTCATTTCCTTGCATAGATTTTGAACACCCGTCTTCTGTAAGTGCTCTCTTTGGTTGGTTCTGCTTCAGCTTTTGTGCCCATGATGTTACAGATTTACTATTCAAAAAGAGAAAACCAAAAGTATTCTCTTTAGATGCTGTTCTTCACACATAAAACTAAACACTAGTGGATACTAGTCAGTGGAAAATGCTTTGAGTTGTTTTTCTAATAGCAGAGAAAAGATGGATTTTTATTGATTCACCTAAATTTCTTTTTACAGTTTTTTATTACCAAAGGTAAAGTGAACAAAAAAACTAACAGTGATTAGTAATACATACAGCCGTAGCCATAGAGTAGAACAAAACTGATCACAGTGGCCCATTCAAGTACTCAATATATCCCTACAGCAAAGTCTTCTTTATTCGCGAGGACTAGTAATTATACTTATAGGTACACAAGATCTGTTGCTATAGCTGAACACTTATTTTAGAGGATCCATTTTAGAGATATAAAACTGAACATTTAGGATAAATGACATAATTTTAAATGATTATTTGCTTTACAAACATCCAGCCACAGTTGTCATTAAGCTTACAAAAGTTCCTCATATACAAAAAGCATTAAATTGAATATACTCATGTATGATGTTTGGTTTCAAATTATATGCACATATGTGACAAAACTCTACTCTTGATACAGTCCTATACTCGAATTTTCAGCAAGTTTATAGTGACCAGAAAATATAAAAGGTATTTTTCTGGCACGGCCTCCCACCTTAGGTTACAGTAGTCTTACAACATTGCAAATGGGAAGAAAGTCACGTGTTGGTAATATATCATATCCTTTATTTCCATTTGCCACAAGCAATAAATACAAGACTTTGGTAAAGCTGCTAAGTGTTCAAATACGTCTCATTTTATCATACTCAAAAATGAGCTTGCTTTACTAGATTCTAAATGTAATAAACAAGCAAACCTCCCTTCAAATTATGGGAGAAATTCTACTTACCTGTTTGTTTTTCCACTGTATACTTCTGAAATCTTATTTCCGCCAAGAAAATCGTGTTCAAATTCACCAGGAAAAATGGAAATATCTTCCTTTACAGATGCGCAAAACTCTTCAGTGGTATGTATATGAAAACTCTTGTTTTTTCCACCATCTACAAGTGACTCCGTCTGCCCCAAAGGTGCTCCAAACTGTCCTTCAGAAACTTCTGTGTGCTCCATGAACTCCTGAGGGTCCTTAGATTTGTAGGCATTTAATTCAGAGACACAAAAGGTACCATAGCCACTGCTCACTGAGCTACCATCCACATTGCAGTCTGGTTGTGACGCGGATGTTTCTTGCTGCATTTCGGGTTCTGTAGACTTAGGATAACTGGTAATAGGTTCATTTCTCTCACTGTTTTCAGAAAAAAAACCCATTTGACTTTCTGAAGATAACTGTTTGCTTAAAGAACTATCGGAAGAAGCCCAGGAAGTATTACTGGTCTGTAACTTGACTAAATTTTTTATCTCCTCTTGTATTCGCTGAAAATAAAGTTATAGATCTGGGTAAGAAAGTATACTAAACATCACACTTTCATAAATACTATGAAAATATTGCTTAAAAATATGAGCTATTACTCTATAAAGAGAATCCGTTTTTAGTTCAAAAACCAAACTGATATGAAGTATTAACTGCTTCCTCTTGCAAATCTTAGCAATACAAAGAAAAGAATCAAGGTAACTAACAACTTACTTGAATTTGGTTGTGGAACTGTTCCTGCTGGGCAACTATCTGTTGTTGGCATTGTTTTTCCACCAAATTGAATAGCTGTAACCACCTGGTCTATTAAATTATAAAATATTTTAGTTAAAAATAATTTCTCAAGTAATATTCACAGAAAAATTCCTCCCGTGGGAAAGGACCTTTTTAAAATATAGTTTTAATGTAAAATGAATAAGCTGAATTAAAGAGCTACAAAGCTGTATTTAATGCAAAAATACAAAGGCACAGGCGTGGTCACCCCTTTCTCATGTAACCTACAGTCTGGGTAAATTCGAAGGTCTGAGTAAATCCTGGTTTTCAAATGACATCTTAATTTGATGTCCTCTGCTATCATCAAGAATTGGCAGTTTACTTCATATTTGTCATAAATTTTTCTTCCTTTCCTTGTAACAGCTAATGATTTTCTTAAACAATTCTTAGAAAATGGAATCCCACGCCTTAAAACAAGAAATAATTTGGTATTGTGGGATTTAAACCCCTAATTTACTTGTTATTTAAGTTAAAAAAAAAAAAAGAACCTTTTTCGAATCAGATACTGAAGTGTTTGACAGCACTACAGCTGAGAGAGGAATGAAAGCCCAAAGGAACTGGCTTAGCCCTCCCTTCAGTCACTTTTAGGTCCTGATCCATCCTGACTCTCAAGAGGAGTCAGTACTTTTTTTTTTGAAGGCCATTAGCAGACAAAGGAGTCAGTACTCTTATAACCAGACTACAAAACATGGCAGGAAAGGGGGCAGGGAGATGTCCAGAGGCTAAAAATTCAGTCTTAAGGCTGGTGTCCTTTCAGCAACAGACTCTATGCAATAATATACAATAAGCAGCTACCATGAAAAAGAGCTTCCCTTACAAACCATTCAATTATCTTTCCACTCCTGTGTTCCTTACAGGGCCCTGAGTGATCTGGCCCATGCACAGCTCCCAACTTCATCTCAGCCCTCTCTACCCCTCACTCAGTGCACACCAGCCTCGCTGGCCTCTATCTTTTCCCTGAGCATGCCAAAACTGTCTTGCACCTCAAAAGCTTTGTCCTCACTGTACCCTCTACTTGGAAAGTTCTCTCTCCAACTCTTATCATGGCTTCTGTCCCTTCTTGCAATTTCAGCTTAACTTCTCAAAGTTTCCCAAACCATCTCACATTTGGTTGTTCTCTCTCTAAACGTCATCCGTGTATTGCCTTCATAGCCTTTACCACAATCAGAGAGCATCTCGTTTGTTCACTTTGTTAACCTGTCTCCAGCACCTGGGACACAGTGCCAAGGAAAGAGTGGGCACTCAGATATACAGTCTAAGTGGGTGTATAAAAATGTGAACTTCAGGGGCGCCTGGCTGGCTCAGTCAGTGGAACATGCAACTCTTGATCTTGGGGTCCTAAGCTTGAGCCCCACGTTGGGGGTAGAGTTTCCTTAAAAAAAAAAAAAAGTGAATTTCAAGCTGATTTTTTTTCCAGAGGCCCTTCAGATTAAAGCCAGTTTAATAACCGTAACAGAGCAGAATTAAATTGAAAGCTATATAACAGTATTAAAGCAAAGGAAGTAAAAACTCTCAGGATTGGAAAAGGAAACCTTCAAATTGAAACAGAGCAGTACTGACAGGAAGTATTAATTCTAAATCAACTAACTTCAGGATAAGGTAGGCTACATCAAATTCAGTTCCTTATCTTCTCAACTTTTTATCTATAATATGAAGTATCTTAATCAAAACAAAAAAGAAATCAGGCAACAGTTTTCTTATTAAGTTATACTAACTTAAATACTTTAGGAGTTATTTTAACCTGATAAAGTTATTAGTCACACAGAACTAAATGACAACAATGACAGAATAACATACATAACAACAACAAAAAAACAAAAATGGGTTATTATGTGACACACTTAAGGTTAATCATATCCTTATTATCATTTTCTTATTTAAGATATGAATAGAGCTTACTCAGGATATAAATTGGTAGAGATTTTGTTATGCCTAGTCAGATTTTGTATTTTAATTTTCAATAAACATATTTAAGAATGTAATAATGCAGCAAATATTATTCACATTATTAAGAACTATAATTCATTTCTAACTAAAATTATATGACCTGCATTTTACATACTTTTAGAGGACTTGGGCATCTCATTAAAGCCTTCCCCTGCAAACAGCTTTTGATGCTATTAGCCTGAAAGGGGTTTCTATAGTCTGGCCTCGTAAATAACCCATTGGCTTTGACATCCTAGGCCTGATTCCCAGCTCCCCACTAACAACCTGTGTGGTGGTCCTCAACAAGTAAATTTCATTTGTGCTTATGAATTTATAAAATGGGAAGAGTAACACCTCATAGGTGGCTGGGAGGATTAAATTTTAAATTCAAATATGATGCATGTGAAGCAGCGATCCCAATGGGGGGAACTACATTTTGAAAAACTGAGGTCACGGCTGTCACAAATATAGCGAGGGCACTACCAGCACTCAGTGGGTCCAGGGAAACAAACCAAAGGATGGTCCCCAACAATGAAAAACTGTCCTGGGTCCATTTTATATTATAAAAATACCATGTATTTTGCACAGCTTTCAAATCATCAAACTGTCCAGGAATCCAACTACAAAGATGTTAAGTTTGTTTCAGAACTCGGTCAGAAATTGGTCACCATTTCAGAAAATTATGTCACCAAACGCAGTGCTAGATCATCAGTGCAACACAGCTGTATCAGTCCATGTCTATAGCTGCTGCCTTCACAGTGAATCTACATATCAACACCAGACTTTGCTTCTACTGTGGATGCGCCTGAGCAAATACCTGTTTTTGTATTATAAGTAACTTTTATTCCTCCTCTTTACCACAGTTAAGAGGATGATTGTTTTTACAGTAGGTACAGGCAAGATGTATCTGTGAATTTCATTTAAGTTGATGTTACTTTAAAAATTGTAAAATATAACTGTAAAATGTAAATTAGTAAACTGTAAAATTATAAAATGAGGGCTTTAGGTCTAATAAGGTTGAGTGCCACTGACAAAAAGTGTCTAGTATACTGCTTAGACACTCAATAAGTGGTATACTTACAATAACCACTATCACATAACAATTACTCTTACATAATCAGTAGTGCTAAATAGTTAAAATGCAAAAATAATGAATTAAGACAAATTAGCTAATAATGTGCTTTAAAAATTCACCATCACAGAAATATTAGCAACAGCAAGCATTTATATAAATGTGTTATACTTTATATATATATATATAGATATAACACATCTATATAAATGTGTTAAACTTTATTTTCCATGAATCAAAATACATCACCTTCTCAAGTTTAAGTGACGATAAACTTCAGAATTGCAGGAAAGAGGTTTTAGAAGAAAGAAATCAGATCTCCAGAGCTCTGAGCTCCATGAAAGGTTTTACGTTTTGCTTTAATAACATAGATTAATCCCTTACAAATGGTAGAAATCAGACAAATGTTAGTATTCCAAAAAGAGATGAAAACATGAAATTCAGGGAAAAGAGTCAGGAATAAGACTTGCACAATCCATACCCCTCCCATTCTTCCGAAAATGCTACACAGTAAAACAGAGGATTTTGTTTTTGTATGCTACAAAACATACTAATAAATTGGAGAGACTTTACTGAAACGACCAGAAGGATATTTCATATTCTGTCAAAGAAATATCTTAAGAAACTATTCACTGAACAATCAACTACATGTCTACATTACAAAAATTAAGTAGCCAATTAATATTAAACATAATGTTATATCACAGATGAGGAGAAAGGGTGTAAAGAAACTGGCTCAAATGTCAAGGTGTAAATAGCTGGTTGGTATGCTGGCTTATAAAAATCTGTATCTTAAATTCACAAATATATTCTGATTCCAAGATGCTGATTTCAAGTATTAAAAGTAACAATTTCTAGTTAAACATGAATTTGCCAGGAGAGCAATACCTTATTTTTTTTTAAAGCATGCTAGTTCAGGTTCATAAGCTAATGGATAAGTATATTAAAGTAAACATTTCACAAAACATTCCATTTTTAATTGTCTCGTTTTACAGGTCTCTTGCATTAGCATATACTGATTATTATATGGAAAAAACACAAAAATTGTAAAAACTTAAAACTCAACTTTCTTGGGCACCTGGGTGGCTTAGTTGGTTAAGCATCTGCCTTTGGCTCAGGTCATGATCCCGGGATCCTGGGATCGAGTCCCATATCAGGGCTCCCTGCTCAGTGGGGAGCCCGCTTCTCCCTCTCCCTCTGCCCCTCCCCCTGCTCATGCTCTCTCTCAAATGAATAAAAAAAAATTTTTTTTTTAATAAATAAATAAAAACTCAATTTTCTTAAAGTCTGCAATAACAGTCATTTTTATAACTTCAATGATTATGGATAATGAATACAAAAAATTACTTAGGGGAGGCTGCTACTGAATCCTTAAAGCAGGTATTCTTTCATTCCACTTACACATTTTGAAAATAACACAAATAATGGTTTTAAGAGTATGATAAATATTTTTAAAAATTTAATAAAAAATACATTTACTAAAATCTGTTCCCTAAAGAATTTAATAATAATAATGTTTTATACATTTTTATAAGGTATTACCAAATCTAGCCTTGGAAAAATCTAACTGGGGCATTATTCTGTGAAACAAAATTTACATATATGTATTCTTTTAACTGCTAAATTTTATATCACAGTTTAACCTATGGACCAAAGAAACACAATTCTGAAAAACCAATATAATTCAATGTATCACAACTAAATGTGATAAGGCATTACAAACAGAAGTCTTAATTTATGAGTAGAGCATTCAAAATATTTCAAAGAGGATTTAGGTTTTTCAAAATAACAATTCTGTTACTTAAAACATTAGAATTAGTAACAATATTAATAATTTTGGAATTCTCACTTCTCTGAACAAAGCTAATATTTTAGTTGACATTTAAAATGTAAATTAGTGTCCAATCACTAATATTTGTTCAAACATACTCTTGATCATCTTTTTCATTTGTTCAATGTTGTTCCCCAATTACTGTATTTGTCCACTTTAGCAATAAGAATCATGCTCTTTAGGATATAAATTTCTAATAATTTAGAGTTTATTAGAGGCACATTTACAAATATATTTTTTAAAATTCCACAAATAAAACAAAACTAGATACCTCACAGTTTTTCCAAAGTTCCGAATCAGTCCTTCCACTGTTTTGTAGCTCTTGCATTAAAGAGGTTAAGACTTCAACTGTACCTTGAATTACAGATGGTCTGGTCTTCCCTGAGAAAGAGGATACCCCATTTGTACTAAGGTGGGGACTACTTCTGTTGAAACATAAATAATTCAAATGGTTTCCTTCATTCTACCAAAGTGTTGAATATTTCAGCAGTTCAAGTTTAGCAGAGCAGTACAAAACCACTGATATTTAATCCTTCTTAATGGTACCTCGTTTGTTGAAAATCTGATCACGTTTGTCCACAAAAGGAAAATAGCAGTAAAAAGACAGCACTTATTTTTTTAAAGAACCCAACAGAAAGACCTTCTCCAGAAGTTGGAGCACACTCCAAAGCACCAGCAGAAAATAAAAGTTTCTGCTATACGATAAGAAAAAGGTCCAGCTTCTCCAATCTAAATCATTCCAGAGGATTATTTTGCTCTACTGTAAGAACAGTCCTTTTTTTGTAGTGGGGTTTCTTTCTCCACTGCCCAGAATTGCAGTCAAGTCTTGTTAATTGGATCCCCCTAATTTGGTGTGATAAGCTGATGCTTATCTTTACACGATCTTTGAATAAAAGTTGTGCCAAGCAAATTAGCAGCAAACATTCAGGACTTATTTAGACTATTCATTGTGTAAAATAGCACTGATTCTTTCCAGGAGGACTGCTTTCCCAAACTTGAGAGGAAGTTATTTCAGATTTGCTTTAGAAAAACACAAAGCATAATTAAGGACAATAAACTCTGTTCAAATTCCAGTCTAAGAGGTCATTTTCATTTATTTATTGATACCCTACATTGTTTCACAAAGAGTTCATTAAAAAAAAAACAACACTGATGAAAATAACAGAAAAATGGTAACAAATAGAATCAGAGAAAGATTAATAAAAACTCAAGGGAAAGAAGAACATACATGTTGTCCATAAGGGGTTACACAGTTGTGTAATAAGTCTAAATTTGACTGATTTCACTGCCAGTCACAACGAAAAGGGAGACAAGTTCAGTTACATAATCTTCATTAGAAGGGCACATTTAGGGGGTGCAGGGCTGGCTCAGTCAGTGGAGCATGTGGCTCTTGATCTTGGGGTGGTGAGTTCGAGACCCACGTTGGGGGTAGAGATTGCATTTTAAAAATTTAAATAAAATAAACAAACAAATAAATAAATAAATTTTTAAGTAAAATCTTAAAAAAATAAAAAGGGAGGGCACATTTAGGTTCCCCCAGGCAAATTATGTTCTAAAAGGGACTTCTTCAAAGGGGCCACCGAGTGATACAAGAAACAAACTTTCAGTGCATGGGTACAAATGACAAAGGCAGGCATCTCTCCTGGACCATTTCCCACACACATTCCCCCCTTTCACCTTGCTTTCTCATTTTATATGTTCTTGTAAGCTGCCTTAAATTCCTCCTGAGGAGGGCAGAGAATGAACAAACTTTTTAAAGAATTAATGAATTTATTTATTATACACAATCTCTTCAAGATCTATTATTATACACCATTTTTTCAAGATCTACTGTGTTTAAAGACCTTTGACCCTTTACCAGTAGGACCCAGACTGCTGTATTTTTGCTTCCTTGTACCTGCTTATTATAGCTGGTCGCCTCTCTGACGGGTTTTGCCTCTTTGCTGTCTTTAAGCTACGAGAAATTTAGGAATCTAATAATCACGTTTGTCAGATTATATACAAAATGAGAGCAATGAGGCTCTGATTAAAAACAAACCAAAGGGGCACCTGGGTGGCTCAGTCATTAAGCGTCTGCCTTCGGCTCAGGTCATGATCCCAGGGTCCTGGGATCCAGCCCCGCATCAGGCTCCCTGCTCCGCGGGAAGCCTGCTTCTCCCTCTCCTCCTGCTTGCACTCTCTGTCTCTCTCTCTCTCTCGAATAAATAAATAAAATCTTAAAAAAAAAAAAGTTATTTTTCACAATGTTCCCCATGCAAAAGTACATTATCTGTGGGAGAAATGAAAAACAGGGAAAGGCTGAAACTATTCTTTTTCTTTTTTTTTAAAAGATCTTATTTATTTATTCGAGAGAGAGAGCACGTACGAGAGAAAGCACAAGTGGGAAGCGGGGAGAGGGAGAAGCAGGCTCCCTGCTGAGCAGGGAGCCCGATGCGGGCCTCAATCCCAGGACCCCGGGATCATGACCTGAGCCGAGGGCAGACGCTTATCGACTGAGCCACCCAGGCGCCTCCCCCCTGAAACTATTCTTAACTAGTCCCAGAACAGCTCCTGTTTGAGGGTTGTCATCGTTATTTAAATAGAACAAATAATCATGACACTACTTGGATAAACTACACAAGTAAGCTTATTTTGATTTGTTGTTACATTAAAAAAAAAATCTATCTATCCCATTCTTACCTATTAGTATTTAAGTTCAGTCCAAAAGAATGGGGAGAATTTTTTATATCAGATTCTACAGAAGATGAAGATTTTCGTAAGGGTTTCACCAAATCAATATCTTCCATAGTGTACAGAAACTGTTATACTCTCTTATTGGAAAATGTAGGTTCTTTCAATGTTTGAAGAAACTGAATCCGAGTCATCTTCAGATGCTTCATCGTCTACAGGCATTTTCAGATGCTAACATTCAGAACTGTGAAATATCCTAAGCTCCCAAGAGAGTCTGAAAATGAATGGAGGAAAAAATACTATAAAAAGCCACTAAACCTAGCAACTGTCTTTTCACTACTTTGGAAACCTTGATCCTTTTAAACAAATCTACATTAAGAACAGCAACATTATTTACAATAGTCCAAATGCAGAAACAACCCATGTGTCCATCAACTGATGAATAGATAAATGTGAAATATACATATAATGGAGTATTTCTCAGCCATAAAAAGGTACAAAATACTGATACATACTACAATGTGGATAAACACTAATTATGTTTAAGTAAAAGCTCAGCAAAAGATCACCTAGTGTATGATTCCATTTATGTGAAAAATCTAGAAGAGCAAATCTCTTGAGACAGAAAGTAGATTTATGGTTGCCAGAAGTTGGGGGAAGGAGACAATGGCAGTGACCAAAAAGGGGTATGGAGTGTCTTTTTGGGGTTAATTGTTGAATTACAAAGTGGTGATGGCTGCACAACCCATCTGTGAATATACTAAAAACCTATGAATTGTACACTTTAAAAGGATGCATTTTATGTTATGTGAATTTTTTTTTGAAGTGAACATAACCTCATGATTTTATTGTCTTCGTAATATTAACAAAATATGAAGCTTAGAACTGGATCACTTGGCCCTTTCTCTTCTTATCTCCTCCCAGTTCAAAATGCTTGCATCTCTTAATAGCCAGCATTCTCTTAGATCTGCAATTGGGCTCAACACATTCAAGCCTCAGCACAATCTTCTTTGTAGTTTTAGCCTTTTTCCAGAATATCGGCTTAGTCTGCCCGCCATAGCCACTCTGCTTCCTGTCATAACGCCGCTTTCCCTGGGCATAAAGAGAATCTTTGCCCTTCTTGTACTGTGTCACTTTGTGGGGCTGGTGCTTGCCACACTTCTTGCAGAAAGTCCGGCGGGTTTTAGGAACGTTCACCATGTTTGCGAGAGCGCTATCGGCACGGAAAGTGTTATGTGAATTTTATCTCAAAAAATCTACAATAAGAGTGATTTGCGAAAGTAGCATCATCTTTTCCAGGTAGTATTTCAGAATTTTGTTGTGTTTAATTATTAGGATTCTAGACACAATTCTACTATGTAACAATTGGAATACTTAGATGCTTTGTTCATTTGTTTAATAAGTTCTACCAAGGCTCCATACTTGTTGGTTTATACTTCGAATAGATAAATTGGAACTACTTAGTATTTAATTTGGTATTAAACATAGCAAAATAAATGGTGGTTTTCTCCATTGGCTGGAAGGCAGGGTGGAAGAAACACATTTTGCACTACCATAGCCTTTACTACTCTATGGATGTATGACTTGTTTAAAAACAAACTATTTGCCGGGTCAACTAAAAATAACTGCTTAATTGATGCAGGCTAACTGATGCTAGGTGTACAGAGACAAATTGGCTATAATAAATCAAACACCATGCTTCCTTCTTAGGGAATTCATGTATTTTTTTTTTTAAGTGAAGGAGCAAGAGAAGAAGAAAATAAAAAAAAAATCGATGCTGATTACAAGATACAAACTTCAGGGAGTGCGAAGAGAGGAAAATGATCTATTCTGATTCCACTAAGGTTCCCACTTCCTAGGCCTGGTTTAGAAAGCACAACCTTAAAAAAACAGCAGCTCTTAAAGGAACCCTATCCTTCAGGGGGAAAGGTTTTGTCAAAGCCAAGGGTAACAGGACCTACCTAAATGGATTTCTCCCCAAGGGCTCAGCCCATCGCCAACCACAAATGGGGTATTGAAAAAGTCTGGGGCTGCACCTTCCAAGTGGCAACGAAAATAGCTGGATTCAAATCACCCTGCTCTTCTACGGGGAAACACACACTCTCCAGGGACGTGGATCTGCAATCCCATCTATTATTTCCCCCTCTCCCCCGGCCGAGGTAGTCCGGATGCAGAAGATGCAGATGGAAAAACCACTTGAGATGCAAAGATGCTTCTCCAGTGGAGGGGTGGGGGGGGTAAGGGGAGGGAATAAGGAAGGGGGCAGAAACCCCCGACCTAAATGCAAAATTAAAAAAAAAAATACACACATACACACACAATATAAAACAAAACTCGATGGACAATGGATATAAGCACAGAGCCATTTTTATATTTCCCGGTAACGAAATGTCACGCTCTTTGTCCCCACGACACGCAGTAAAAAAGAAAAAGGGGGGGAAAGGTCGTTGGGGCGGGGGGAAGACCAGATCGGGGTCTGCTGATACTATATAAAAGTTAACCCGGCGCTGCGCTTTGCCGGGAGCCCGAGGGCGTAAGGAAGAGAGGATTGCAGAGGTTTTGAGGCCAGATCCCGACATCCTCGCCCTCACAGCCAGACCTCAATTGCTGGTGGTGGCTCTCGGGTCAAAGGCGAGGGAAAACCACCGAATGCAGCCGCCTAAACCGGAGGCAGCAAAGAGGCGAAAGAAAAAGCCGCCGTTCCAACAACTACAATCGTGATTCCCAAAGTAAACCAAGGAAGACCGTCAAAAAAAAAAAAAAGAGAGAAGAAAAATCCCACAAGCCCCCCGCCCCTGGGGAAGAGGCGCTCTGCGATTGGGCCCCCCGGGTGTCACTCAAGGGCACTGAGTCTAGAAAAGGCACACGGCCACGAGCAAAGCCCCCCACACACCGGAGGGATGCAGTGGGGGGCCCGTGCGTCGTCTAGTCGTCGTCCTCCCCGCCCTGGATCCATCAGCACCCTTGGGGTTCTGCTAAGGCCGTGTCTTCCAAGCCTCGTCCCCCTGCCCCCCGTTGGCCGACGGCTCCCCGCAGGCCGGCGACCGCTTACCTGGCCGCTGCTCCCACAGTCGATGTCAGGGTCGGGCGAGCGGCCTCTCGCGACCGTTAAACTCGAGGGAGCGTGCGCGCGCCCGGCACCTTGCCTGCGATTGGCTGTTTGAAAGGGGGCGGAGACGGCCGAACCGCGACACGCGCGTCGGCCGCCCCTTTCCCTTCCCGCCCCTCGCGCAAAAGAGGGAGGTCCGACGCCTGGGAAACGGAGGGAGGCGGGGCTGATGTCACGTTCTCTGGTCTGATTGGTTCTCTGGGAGTCGGCTGATGGCACGCGAAAAGAAGCCTCCGCTTACCGCATGCGCAGTTGGTAAGAATGAGCCTGGGGCAAGTGAGGGAAGCGGTGGCGGGAGTACGGCGCGTGCGCAGACCCAGGAGCGCATTTGCGATCCACCTTCTGCAGTGGTTCGGGTTACCCCAGAACGTTGCGGGTGGGAGGTCAGCGTTGAGGCCAGGTAAGAGTCCGTGGAGAATCCGGTCACCCGCGGTTGTCATGGTTGTCATGTTCCATGTCAAGGACTATGGAAAGAGGACTGGGAGCTGGGACGCCTGACTTTCCCAGCTTGCGACCCTGAGTCGCGCAGCCAATTGACCTGAAGCCCCGCTGGCCCAGACCCCGAGCTAAGTTTTCTCTGCACCTGGTTTACCCTAGGGGTAAACCTGCTGGGGGTCGGCCCGGGGGGTTCTTCAAGGACCTGGATGGGGAGGGGAGCACAGCCCAGCGGCTTGGAGAAAACAGTTGCACCGAGGCCCAAGAAGAAATGGAACATCTTCATTTACTTTGTTCTACGGAGCTCTTAGCACGCCGCAGGTGCTGTTTTAGGCCCGCACATAGCAGGTGTCAGCATTGCTCTTGCCAGGCCTTTGGAAGGACCACAGAGAATACGTGTCCCTCCCTGTGGGCCCCAGGCCATTTCATTCTCTCTGTTCAGTTCACATTTTTTTTTTTAAAGATTTTATTTATTTATTTGACAGAGAGAGAGAGAGCAGGAACACAAGCAGGGGGAGTGGGAGAGGGAGAAGCAGGCTTCCCGCTGAGCAGGGAGCCCGATGTGGGACTCGATCCCAGGACCCTGGGATCATGACCTGAGCTGAAGGCAGACGCTTAACGACTGAGCCACCCAGGCGCCCTCAGTTCACATCCTTAAGACTAGTTGACCTTTAAAGCCAGCTCTTAGATTGCCCTCCAAGGGTCCTGGGCCCAAAGTAAAGGAATTTCGCTGGCCTTATCATGTAGATGTGGCTGAGAAGCCAGGACACGCGATATATTGGCAGGAATGACAGATCTGCGAGGCATTCCGTCTCATCTGAGCCTAACAATCGTGTCTCAAACAGTAAAAATTTAGTCTGTATCCAAAACCCCATCTGTGTATGGAAGATCTCAAGCTTAAATAAATTTAATCCACACCCCCCCCATTGTGTGAGTCCCATCAGGCAATAGTATGCTCTTGTAATACCTAACCAAAATCAAACTAATTTTAAGCACATGGCTCTGATTTCACTGACCATGTTTCAAGCCCAACAACAACAACAACAAAGTTTTATCACTAATTTCAGTTGGTCACAAAATCCATTATTTGAGACATCCTTTACACTTAGAAGAACTGAGAAGTGTGAATTACTGAGACATCTCCAGGCAGACAGAGTTGGGTTTCCTTACAAGAAAAATAACCCCTAAATCAAGTACTAGTGATTATTTCTCAACCATGTAAGGGGCAGGAGATGTTCACTTTTGACTACAAAATCAGATGGGTTCTGTTCAGTTTGAACATGTAGATTTTTGGTTTTTTGTTTTTAGGTGTGCGGTTTTAGGTAACTTTTTATCTGTTAATGTCTTAATAAACCAACGTATTCAGGAGTGCTATTCTGGTTAACCAAGTTATCTTGTTAATGAAGTGATGTGGTAAAATATTTTGGTAAGGTTGCTCACACCATATTTCTTAGGTTAGGCTCTTTGGAAGGGTCATAATTGAAAAAAAAATCAATGGAAATTGCCTTTGACTCTTTGGACTAAAGAGAAAAAAAGTATCTTTTTTTTTTAAAGATTTTAAAGATTTTTTTTTAAAGATTTTATTTATTTATTTATTTATTTATTTAATTGACAGAGAGACAGTGAGAGAGGGAACACAAGCAGGGGGAGTGGGAGAGGGAGAAGCAGGCTTCCCGCTGAGCAGGGAGCCCAATGTGGGGCTCGATCCCAGGACCCTGGGATCATGACCTGAGCCGAAGGCAGTCGCCTAACTGAGCCACCCAGGCGCCCCAAAAAATACCTTTCTCAAAGCTTTATAAACAGCTAAAAAGGTAGTTTTTAAAGTCCATAGACTTTTTTTTTTTTAAGATTTTATTTATTTATTTGACAGAGAGACACAGCGAGAGGGGGAACACAAGCAGGGGGAGGGGGAGAGGGAGAAGCAGCCCCCCCCCCCCCCGCGGAGCAGGGAGCCCGATGCAGGACTTGATCCCAGGACCCTGGGATCATGACCTGAGCTGAAGGCAGACCCTTAACGACTGAGCCACCCAGGTGCCCCCATAGACATTATTTCTGAGTACAGCAAACAGAAGTAGTAGGCTTCAGAAGTTCCAGTAAATGTGTTAAGTACAATCGCTCTTCATCTAATCGAAACCTACCTTCCATCCTGGAGATTTTGCACTACTTGTATGCAAACTGACACCGCTATTTTATGGCCTTTTATGATGGTATGATTACTATGATTTTCTTTATTATAACATCAAATTGCCTAAGTATCTCTTTGACCTTGAAGGCTTCGAACTGACTTTTGAGTGGAGATCTTTCACATTGATGGGGATAAGACCATGCTGGGCAGTGATAATGGCTAATAATGGCTTGCGGCATTTGGTGTCTCTCAGCCCCAGCATTGCTACTCTTGATTGTTATGTCCAAACTGTTGATCATTTGGGGGGGCCAGTTCTCCACAGCGGGGGGAGGGGGATAAAGAGGAACTCTAAAACTTTAAATGTATAGTTTAATCATTAAACGTGAAATCATCAGACGTATATTAAAATATAAATTTTGTCTTCTTTCTTGTCCGAAATGATTTTTCTTACTCTATCAGATAATCCCTAAAGATCTCCATGTTTAAACCAGGACTTGCTTGGATGAAGGGGGTGTTTTATCTTTCATTGTGAGCCTGCTAGAAAGTCAGACTGTATTCTTGGCATCATAATTACCTCCTTGGCACCTGATTTCATAGAACACAATTATGACCTCACCAAATAGCATATCTTTGGTAATTTCATGGTTTTCAAGTACTTCTTAAATTGGACCATACCAAATGAAATAATTTGCAGGTCACTCTTCTAGATGCCTTTTCACTCTGTGCTCTAAAACAAGTCTACGAAGGGGCGCCTGGCTGGCTCAGTCGGAAGAACATGTGACTCTTGATGTCCAGGTCATAAGTTTGAGCTCCACATTGGATAGAGATTACTTAAATAATTCATTTATTTTTTTTTAAAGATTTTATTTACGGATTTGAGAGAGAGAGAGAGCAAGCACAAACGGGAACGGCAGAGGGAGAGAGAAGCAGACTCCCCGCCGAACAGGGAGCCCAATGTGGGGCTCGATCCCAGAACCCTGGGATCCTGACCTGAGCCGAAGGCAAATGCTTAACCAGCTGAGCCACCCAGGTGCCCCTTACAGGCTTTAAAAAACAAACAAACAAACTGGGGTACCAGGGTGACTCAGTCGGTTAAGCATCTGCCTTCGGCTCAGGTCACGATCTCAGGGTCCTCGGATTGAGCCCCACATCGCAAGTCTGCTTCTCCCTCTCCATGATTTCTCTCACTTTCACTCTCTCTCAAATAAGTAAAATCTTTATATATCAAAAAAAAAATAAAAAGCCTATGAAATAATCAGTTTCACATTAGGTTTATGGGATAAGACCACAATTTATATGGTGTGTTAGTCAAAGGCTCTTCGGCTTTATAGTTTAGGGATCCCAAGTATCCCTCAGGGCTTTAGGTTTGTGGAGACATGTACGTTTTTTTCTTAGCCTAGGTGGTATTACCTCCACTTTACAGATGAGACGTGGCCAGAATTGCACAGTGAGTAAATCATGAAGCCAAGATACTGACTACAGAGCAGTGTGGCCTTTCAGGGACAAAAAAAACAAATGAGAAGAACGTTCCAAAAGAGAAAGTTGAGGAAAATGAGCTAACACTTTTAAGAAGGTGGGGAAAGGACAGATCTAGAGCCGTTATGAAAGGTAAAAGTAGAAAGGATAAGTTTAGTATAAAAAATGGAATACCTAATGTTCTTCCAAGTCTTCCTGAGATAATCCCTTTTCTTTATTTGTGTCAAATACAATAATGTATTTGAAAGTGCTTTGCAAGCATTTAGGTCCTAAACAAATATAAGGTATAGAGGCATTGAGAAGTTAAGGACATGTAGAGTGTTATTGCTGCTTTTTTTTTTATGTGTTTGTCTTATTTTAACGGTGTAGTTGATAAATTCTAAAGTTCCTGTTAGAATGCCATAAATAGAAGAAAATCACAGTGATGCACACAAATAGGGCAGGTGTAATTCTCTGTGGATTCAGAGTTTTCTGTATATATAAAAAAAAAAAGCAACACTGAATGGGGTGTTAGTGTTGTATGAATAGAAAGCTTTTCTCTTTATCTACTTCATTAGTTGTCTCTTGAACTCTGCAGCAGGGAGCCTATTAAATTGAGACCAGACCCAGAGCAGTCTCCAGCGTGGCATTTCCTGCTCAATCTATGATGTTTGTCTGATTTGAGAAATAATTCTCTGCCAACACTTTCTGTGACTGAAAGGTGCTTTATCTTCAGAACGAACCGCCAAGCCCAGGAAAGGACTTGGTCTGTTTCAGACCTGAGCCGCAGCCCCTGGAGGTTCTGTTCTGGGAGGTGATCCAGCCCTCGAAAGGACTCCAGACCAACCAGAACAGGAGGATGAGCTAGACCGAGCAGGCGGGAAACGGCTGCTTTGTCTTAACTCCCATTTTGCAGGGAGCAAGCACCAAAACATACTATGAAACATGGACTATGGGGGCACCTGGGTGGCTCATTCGGTGAAGTGTCTGCCTTCGGCTCAGGTCATGATCCGGGGTCCCAGGATGGAGCCCCGCATCAGGCTCCCTCTCTCTCTGCTGCTCCCCCTGCGTGTGCACTCTCTCTCTAATAAATAAACAAAGTCTTTAAAAAAATAAAATAACATGTTTATTTAAAAAAATTAAAAACATGGATTATGCTTCAGCATTTCTCAGAAAATCATTCTCTCACTTAGCTTCTGGTGCCATCAGCTGGCCATTTTGTCTTTTAAAAGCTGCACCATTGCACATCAGCCTGTCTGAGTCCAGTGTCTGGTCCTTCACCACCGATTAGGTCATTGTTTTGAGACCTGTCCCTTTATCTCCTACTGTGGAAGGAGAAACAGGACCGTGACCAAGCACGCAATCAGCACTCCAGAATGCTGGCCTCAACTTCTTAAATAGAGGAAACAACAGCTTTTAAAAAGTGTCTGTCCCAGAAGCTGGAAGAACTAGCTTAATTCCTACGTTCTAGGACAAGGCTTCTCAGACTTTGGAAGTGTGCTTCTGAGTCACTTACGGATCTTCATAAAAGGCAGGTTCTCATTTAGGAAGTCTGGGGTAGGGCCCGAGAGTCTTCATTCCTAACGAGCTCCCAAGTGGTTCTGTCGCTGCTACTCTGTGGACCATAATGAGGAGCAAGATTCTGGAGCTACATTGTCTGATACGATAGCGTTGAAGACACCCCAGATTTTGAAGACTTCATATAAAAAATAAAATATCACAATAATTTTTATATTGATTGCACATTGAAATAATATTTTGGATATACTGGGTTATATATTAAAAAATATATATATATATTTTTAAAAATAAAAAATATATATTTTTTAAAGATTTATTTATTTATTTTTAAAGATTTTATTTATTCATTTGACAGAGCACAAGCAGGAGGAGAAGGAGAGGGAGAAGCAGGCTCCCTGCTGAGCAGGGAGCCCGACATGGGACTCGATCCCAGGACCCCGGGATCATGACCTGAGCCAAAGGCAGACACTTAACTGACTGAGCCACCCAGGTGCCCCAGGAGTTATTTATTTTAGAGAGAATGCATGTGCGAGCAGGGGGAGGGGCAGGGGAAGACCCGCCGCTGAATGTGGAGCCCGAATGGGGGCTTGAGATTATTACAACCCTGAGATTATGACCTGAGCTGAGATCAAGAGTCAGACACTTAACCGACTGAGCCACCGAGGTGCCCCTAAAGATTTTATTTTTCAGTCATCCCTGCACCCCACGTGGGGGTCGAACTTACAAGCCCGAGATTGACAGTCACATGCTCCATCAACCAGCCAGGTGCCCCTCTTTTTACTGTTTTTAAGGTGACTACTAGAAAATTTAGAATTTCACACATGCCTTACATTATGTTCATATCGGACAATGCTGTTCTAGAACACTAATGTAATAGAAACATTATTGGTGTTCTTTTTTTCAGTTGACCCCATTCCTCAGTCCCCTTGTTACCCATTTCACCTTCTGTTAGCTCAGTTCATTATTTGTATCATTCTTCTCTCTGAATGTTTGCTGTTCCCACCATTACTCTCCTTCCCACCTTCCTCATCTCCATCTTTGCCATCGGTGTTCTGGGGCTTCCATCCAGTCGTCCAACAGTCCTAAGAGCCACCATAAAGGCAAGCAGCTTTGCTCAGAGCTTTTGGCCATGAAACTCAAAGTGTGGTCCCTGGAGGCAAGAGCCTCACTGGGAGCTGGTTAGGAATGCAGAGTCTCTGGCCCCACCCAGACCCGTTGAAGTAGTCTTCTATTTAACAGAACCCCCAGGGGATTTGTCTGCTCCTGAAAATGTGCGTGGTGAGGGCTTTGCCAGTCATCTTTCCTAAAGCAACCCCATTTCAGTTCATCTCCACATCTGTTCCTTCGGTTGGATTTGATGAAGTCTCTACGAGGCTGAGATAACCCTGAAAGTTGTGGCTCA